ATGAGCTTTCTTGTATTTATATACATTTGATAGTTTCTTCACAAGTTTAAGAGTCCATATTTTAGTAAAAAGTTGGTGAGCATTCTTATTAACACTATTTTAGTTTTGGTGGACCTTAAATAAAATTTATTAAAAATGGGCAAACATTATTCATTAGTACGCACTAATTAGTATTCAAATCAAGTTCCATATTTTGATCGCACTAAAAGCAATTTTAATTTGCATCACATTTTGTGCATCCGTAAACTTTACATTTCATACATTAATAGTTTTCACTCAAAAACTCATCATCTAAGCATTTTTTAATGCATGTAGAACTATTGATTTAGCTTTTAAACAGATTCTGTTAACAACTAATACATGAATTTTCATTTATGTTAAAACAAGTTAAGCAGTTTTCAGAGCAATTAAGGCAAGACTAAGTAATAACAGAGTAAATTTAGTTAGTTAAGCATTATCTAAAACAAAAAACCCTAATAGTAGATATCAAAATGAAACTAATTAATAAAAAACTCATAAACTTAAAAACTATAAAGCTATTCCTTTTCTTTTAAATAATTTCTTAATTTTTGAATATTAATAATTTTTAAATTTTACTAATTATTATTATCTCTAATCTTTAGTTCTTATACATAAAATCAAAAAATTACAATTCAATAAAGGAACACATATGATAAGATGGTGTAGATTTAAAAGAAAATTGCAATTAAATATTATTTTGAGTTATAATAATTATTATTTAAAAGTAAGAAGTAGAAAATTGACCAAATTTAAATTGTAATATTAATATTTACTTTTTCTATTTTAATTATTTTTATTTTATTAAATTTAAATAAATAATTAAGATTTTTGCTAATTTAAGCAATAAAAGTATTCAAAATTTTGATGTGAAAATAAAAAAGTTTATAATCATAAATGAAAGTAAAATTTATGGTTAAATAATAAAAAATGTTTTGTCTTTTAGTTTAATTTTAATATATCTTTATAATTAAAAGATATTAATTTATATCTACTGTCACAGAAATTGTATGTAATATTTAAAATTCCATTTTAAAAACTAAAATATTTTTTTTAAATCAATAAACAGAGATAAATAAAGCAAAAAATATTTTAAATCAATTAATTTGCTCTTATATCAATTTGAGTTTTTCTAGATAGACATTTCTAGATGAGGCGGAACGCTACTTAATTTATTTGAATTATTCAAAATAAGATCATGAGATAATTCTGATTTATCTGCATTATTTTTCTTGCTTTTTTTACAATATTATTTGATGATTAATAAAATTTATATTATTTAAAATATAGGACCTATCAATATTGCAAGTACCATAAAAATCATAATTACTAATGATTATATAACTATATAATCTGGATATACCTACAGATTATTTTCTAAAGAATCAATTTAAGCACACAACACACTAAATAAAATTAATATGATAACCCAAATTATCTATTCAATAATAAATTAAATGTTAATTATATTTCTATAAAATGGCCTCAAGTAAATTGTTATTAATAACTCAATAAATTATACGATAATTAGAGTAATGATAGATTTTTAACTACTTTCTCTAAATATTATAATTATTATTGGAAATATTAAGCACTCAACTATAGTAAAAATTAGCATATACAATCTTGCCAAACAAGATTCTAAAATCGTTCCATTAGTTAAATTTATCATTAATATGTTAATAATACTTTATTTATAATGATCTATTTTATTTATCTTTGTTAAATATAAAGAAGCTGTTTATAAACTAATTATCAAGCCAACAGTGATCAAACAGCAAATTATAAAGATATAAGTAAATATACCTTACGTTGTTTACTAAATATTTAATTATATGATTTAGATAACTGAGCTGTAGCAGAAAACTAAAATAAGCAACTGTAAAAATTAAATTTATAGTGAAGAAAATAATTTATCATATACTAAAAGAATATGCTTTTTTATTTTAGTACGTGTTAGTAGAAATACAAATATTTGAAAAATTGCTAAACAGCAAGCAATGAAAAAGACTGCTCCACTATTTTTAATAATACTACTAGAAAGATTATTATATGCAAATTTATAGTCTATGGTCTGATTGTAATATTTGCTTTCAATCAAAAAATAATTTTAGAAAATATTAGCGATTTCCAATCTTGAAGTTATACCATTTTCTAAGTTAAAAATTATGAAAAAATATAAATATTTTTGTATTGATATTAAAAATTTCGCCTACTGTAAAACTCTCAGAAATATTTATTTTATATAATAAATTTTAAATTTATTATAAAAATAGAAACTAATAAATCTATAATTTAATATTAATGTTTTTTTTAGGGTTGATAAAGAGAGATATTACAGTATTTGCTATTTAATTTTTTTAATTTTTTAGATTAAGAAATGAATTAAATAAATAATACTTGAAAGAGCTTTCATGAAGTCATACAAAAAATTAGGATGGTCTATATTAACTAATTGCATGTAAAATATTTTTTGAATTGTGAGCATTTAAGACAAAAGAGAAGAACCTGAATTAGTTAGACCTTATATTATTACATAAGTAAAGGATATTCCTATTTAAGCTGAGTTAATATTTCCAGCAGCACTTTTAATAGCTTGTTTGGTAGATTCGGAAAATAAGGATACTTCTTTTATTTCACATTTATCTGTTTAATTATTGTAAAACTATGAGTTATCAGAACATAGACATTAATTTTATTATAGTTTAAATGATGGATAACAACTTAAACAATCTTTTTCAGTTGTTCCTTAACAAGTTTAACAGTTTTTGTAACAATTTTTACAAACTTTACTTTGATCACAAAACGTGTTAGCTGGTTAAAATCTGAAGCATTATTTTTAATAAAAATAAGGATATTTTTAGGTACAACTTAAACATTACAATTCCTAATTACAGTTTAAGCATTATTCAGGACAAGCCATACATTGCTTTTAGAAAAGGTAATAAGATTTTTAACAAGATAAACAATTCTAAGAAGTTTTACCATCACATATTTAGCAAGATTTATCACATTATAAGCAATAGTTTAAGTTTCTTTCTATAGGATCAAAAACTTATCCTTTATAGTATCCAAAATTTGGGCAATTTTAAGTACAGGTTCTCTAATCATCTAAAAAGTATGTTCCATTTTTGTTGCAATTTAATTATGCAAATACTAATATCTAACTTTATGCTGCTATTATTTCAGTATCTTTCCAAGTATTATATTAAAATTTAATAGTATCTGTCTATAAGACAGAATCATATACAATTTATTTCTCTTTTAGGCTCAGTCTAAATACTTAATCTAAAGTCATTTCAAATCCTGTGAATCCATAAAAAATTCCTGCAATCTTATCAATTAATATATTGTATTAAGGAGTTATGATTTCTTGATTACCTTTATCGCTTAAAATTGGATTAGTTGAATACGGTGGATTTATTGATTATTCAATATATGTTTGTATACTGTAATAACCTTTATTTTTTTATTAATAAATTTCGATATAGTTATAATGAATTGCATTTATTTTATTTTGACTGTTAAGATCTCTGGTTTTAAATATAATATCAAAGGTATTACTTTAATAATTGATTTCTGAAATAATACTTAAATAAGCATTTTTTGTTTATTAAACAGATTTATCTATTCCAATAATATAAACCGAAATACTCACATTCCATATATCAAAATCTAAATCACTTCTTTAATAATTAAATGATTATTTTGCATAGACCCACTATGAATCTTAATTGTAAATTTAATTTGAAAATTAAAAAGTCCCTTTTTTAACATAAGCATCTTTGATGTTAATAGCCAAATATTGTATATTTAATCCATATAATTCTTAATTTTGGGATTTTTATACAGTTGCATTAAATGATAGTAGGTTAATTTAAAGTAAATTTACTTAAAAATTGATATTTTATAAACTGTTAGCCCATAAATCTAAGTGATTGATACTAATTAGAACTTAAGGTATTTCAGAGAACACTATTTCGAATGTTTGATTTATAATAGCTTACTGTTATTCTTCATTTTATAAAGCAGTGTCAGGATATAAAACTGGCTATAGCTTATTTATTTCAACTTCAGGAATTTTTATGTAGTTATGAGATAAAATTAATTTTAAAATCACTAAGAAAAATGAAATTTTTATAAGAATACTCATTTAGATGTTATTTATATATTAAAGTTAATAATTATAAATTTTAGAAGTATGCTTTTTATTTATAAATATTGAAAACTAAAGGATATATTTAGATTACAGTGATTATTTATTAGGCAGAATTAATTTTATTGATTAGTCTTAAAAATTTACATTTTTCAAAAATAAAAAATTAATTGTGAGTAATATAACAAAATTAAAAAATAAAATTTATAATTTATATTTTATTATTATCGAATTTTAAATACACATCAGAATACTATTCTAAAGTTTCTAGAAAACCATAACATTAAAGATCTAAATTATACTTAATATTAAATGAGAGTAATAATATATGCAAAAAAGAATAAAAATAAATTTAAAATAAAATATTAGTTTCAATCCAAATTGAATGATCAATGTTTAATTAATAACTATAATTTTTAGCCATGATTATTTAATTAATTAGAGAAGTTGTTTACCACAAATTTTTTTGTATTTAGTAAACAAAATAAAGTTAAGCATAAGAGCTCTTTGTTAATTTGTAAGCATAAAACACAATTCCCATAAAAAATTTTTTATAAATTTAGAGTACAAAAATGAATCTTTTACTTAAAAAATGAAAGATCTAGCTCAAACCAATATTTTAAATTAATATAAAAACATATATTTATATGAATGAAATATATTTATAATAATTCTAATTTTATATATTTTCCACAAGAATTTTACTATTTATTACACAATTTCCAAAATATTTAGATTTTAATTAAAATAGGGGCATTTTTAGATCAGTTTGAAAAATCTTCTTCTTGCCAAAAATTAGGTAGTGAAAAAATTTACTTTTTGTATTTTTTTAAAAACTTTTTGAAATTTAAAACTTTTTCAAAAAAAAAATGAAAGAATAAAACTAGGTTTAAATAATCAAGTACTCCAAATACGATAATAATTTAGGTGAAATAAGAACGATCAAATGTCAATTATATATAAAATCATTTGTCAAAAAAATTAGATATGTGCAAGTACTGCTTTGCAAAAATTGTTACAAAAATAATATGTGTTGAATCGATATTATGTATCCTATTTATCTATCTTCAAGCATATTGATTTACTATTTTTATAACAAAATAAAATAAATTGCAAATAACTTCAAATTACATTTTTATTTTTACTTAAAATGAGTTATCAAAACATTAAATTATGTATGAAGTTTAAATCTTATTTTGGAATTAAAAGAGAAAATAAATATAGTGATAATCTAAATCAAAGTATTTTAATTTTCTATTAAAAAATTATTTGTATATCCAATAATTGATAAAAAACGAGTTGATTTTAGAATCTACTTATAATAGATAGTAATCAATGATTGTATTTTCATAAACAAACAACACTTTTAAGTTTTAAATCCCATAACAACTAATTCGCTTCCTGCAGTACACCCATTTTAATCTCTAATTTTTATAATATTCTATTCCATTTAATAAATATAAATCATAATAATCTGCTAAATTCTAAAAGATTAATAAACTAATTATTTTTCATTGTCTACTAAAGCAAAATAAATAGCAGCCATTTGCAAAAATTAAATTGTACTTTTGATTAGTAGGAAGAAGAAGAAAATAGATCAAATTTAGAAAATAATTCACTTTTTATATTTAGTTTTTCTGAATTAAAATAAATTATTATTTTAGTAAGAAGTATAAAATTGACTAAATTTAAATCAAAATATTTACATTTGCTTTTTAAATTTATTTATTTTTTTTTATTTAACATAAATTAAATAGTTTTTTCTAATTTTATGTAATAAAAGGATTCAAAAATTTTGTGTGAAAATTATAAAAGTTTATAAAAAATAAATGTAAGTATTATTTATGGTTCAATATAATAAGAAGTGTTTAATATTTTTTTTATATATCCTTACAATTAAAAGATTTACATTTTATATCTATAGACATAAAAATTAAATTTAGTAATTAAAATTTCCATTCTAAAAACTAAAATATTTTTTAAAAATCAATAAATAAATAATAATAGTAAAATAAAAATATTTTTTAAATAAAATTTATTTTTTCTTTATCATTTCAAGTTTTTCTAGATAGACATTTCTAGAAGAGGTGGGGCGCTATTTAATTCAATTGAATTATTCATTATAACATCATGAGATAAATCTGATTTATTTTCTACATTATCCTTCTTGTTTTTTTTACAATATTATTTAATGATTAATAAAATTTATATTATTTAAAATATAGGACCTATCAATATTGCAAGTACCATAAAAAGCATAATTACTAATGATTATATAACTATATAATCTGGATATTCCTATATATTATTTTCTAAAGAATCAATTTAAGAACATAATATACCAAATAAAATGAATGTGATACCCCAAACTATCTATTCAAAAATAAATTAAATGTTGATTATATTACTATAAAATGGCCTCAAATAAATTGTTATTAACACCTCAATAAATTATACGATAATTAGACAAATAGTAGATTTTTTATTACTATCTCTAAATACAACTACTATAATTGGAAATATTAAGCATTCAATTATTGTAAAAATCAGCATATAAATTCTTGCCAAACAAGATTCTAAAATCGTTCCATTAGTTAAATTTATCATTAATATGTTAATTATGCTTTATTTACTCTGATCTATTTTATTTATCTTTGTTAAATATAAAGATGCTGCTTATAAACTAATTATCAAGCTAACTAAGACCAAACAGCAAATTATAAAGATATAAGTAAATATACCTTACATTGTTTATTAAATATTTAATTATATGACTTAGATAACTGAGCTATAGCAGAAAACTAAAATAAGTATTTATAAAAATTAAATTTATAGTGAAGAAAATAATTTATCATATACTAAAAGAATATGCTTTTTTATTTTAGTACATGTTAGTAGAAATACAAATATTTGAAAAATTGCTAAACAGCAAGCAATGAAAAATGCTGCTCCACTATTTTTAATAATACTACTAGAAAGATTATTATATGCAAATTTATAGTCTAAGGTCTGATTGTAATATTAACTATCTATATAAAAATAATTTTAGAAAATATTAGCGATTTCCAATCTTGAAGTTATACCATTTTCTAAATTAAATATTGTATAAAAAAAATAAATATTTTTGTATTGATATTAAAAAATTGAATCGAATTTCATTATAAAAAATTATAACTCTCAGAAATATTTAAAATAGAAATATTATTTTATAAAATAATCAATAATAAATACTTTAAAAACTTAAGTAGCAATCTAAAAAATTTTTTATCTAAGTTGATAGGAGGTTATAAAAATTTATTGAAAAAAAATATATTTAAAAAATAAAGGCATTTTGTGATAATAAATAGCATGTGTTTAATAAATAATCTTAAAATTAAATATTGATGTTTTTTTTAGGGTTGAAGATGAGAGATTTTTGCTATTAAATTTTTTTAATGTTTTCGATTAAGAAGTGAAATAAATTAATTAAAGCAATAATATAGTAATACTTGAAAGAGCTTTCATGAAATTATACAAAAAATTAGGATTGCCTATGTTAACTAATTGCATGTAAAATATTTTTTGAATTGTGAGCATCTAAGATAAAAGAGAAGAGCCTGAATTAGTTAAGCCTTATGTTATTACAAAAGTGAACGAAATTCCTATTTAAGCTGAGTTAATATTTCCAGCAGCACTTTAAATAGTTTGTTTAGTAGATTAGGAAAATAAGGATACATCTTTAAATTCACATTTATCTGTTTAATTATTGTAAAATTATGAGTTATCAGAACAAAAGCATTCATTTTATTATAGTTTAAATGATGGATAACAACTTAAACAATCTTTTTCAGTTGTTCCTTAACAAGTTTAACAGTTCTTGTAACAATTTTTGCAAACTTTACTTTGATCACAAAACGTGTTAGCTGGTTATAACTTGAAGCATTAGTTCTCATAAAAATAAGGATATTTTTAGGTACAACTTAAACATTACATTTTCTAATTACAGTTTAAGCACTATTAAGGGCAAGCCAAACATTATTTTTAGAAAAGGTAATAAGAATTTTAACAAGATAAACAATTTTAAGAAGTTTTACCATCACATGTTTAACAAGATTTATCACATTATAAACAATAGTTTAAATTTCCTTCTATTGGATCAAAAACTTGCCCATTATAGTATCCAACATTTGGGCAATTTTAAGTACAAGTTCTCTATTCATCTAAAAAGTATGTTCCATTATTGTTGCAATTTATTTATGAAAATATTAATATCTAACTTTATGCTGCTATTATTTAAGTATTGTCCCAAGTTTTATATTAAAATTTAAAAGTATTTATTTGTTAGACAGAATCATATCCAATTTATGGCTCTATAATTTTAAGTCTAAGTGTGTAAATTTAACTCACTTCAAATCCTGTGAATCCATAAAAAATACCTGCAATATTGTCAATTTATATATCGTATTAAGGTGTTATGATATTACCTTAGTTGCTTAAAATTGGATTAGTTGAATAAGGTGGATTTATAGATTATTCAATATGATTTTGAAAACTATAATAACTATTGTTTTTTTGTTAATAAATTTCGATATAGTTATAATGAATTGCATTTATTTTATTTTGGCTGTTAAGATCTCTGGTTTTAAATATAATATCAAAGGTATTTCTTTAATAATTTATTTCTGAAATAATACTTAAATAAGCATTATTTGTTTATTAAACAGATTTATCTATTCCAATAATATAAACTGAAATACTTACATTCCATATATTAAAATCTAAATTGCTTCTTTAGTAATTAAATGATTATTTTGCATATACCCACTATGAATCTTAATTGTAAATTTAATTTGAAAAGTAAAAAGTCCCATTTTATACATAAGCATCTTTATTATTAATAGCTAAATATTGTATAGATAATCCATATAATTGTTAATTTCCATATTTTTATACAGAAACACTAAATGAGAGTAAGTTAATTTAAAGCAAATTTACTTAAAAATTGATATTTTATAGACTGCTAGTTTATAAATCTAAGTAATTGATACTAATTAGAACTTAAGGTATTTCAGAAAATACTATCTAAAATGTTTGATTTATAATATTTTACTAATATCCGTCATTTATTAAAGAAGTAGAAGAAAATAAAACTGGTTATAGCTAATTTATCTCAACTTCATGTATTTTTATGTAGCTAAGAGACTAAATTATTTTTAAAATAACTAAGAAAAATGAAATATTTATAAAAATACTCATTTATAATTTTTTTGTATTTATATTTTAAAATTAATAATTATAAAATTCCGAAGTATCCTTAATCTATAAATATTGAAAACTAAAGGATTTAGATTACAGTAATATTTACTTATTAAACCAAAATTAATTTAAAAAATTTGCATTTTTCAAAAATAAAAAAATAAATTGTAAGGAAAATAACTAATTTTAGTTTTCATAAATTAGAATTTTAAATTCACATCAGAATAATATCCTAAAGTTTTGAGTAAACCATAACATTTAAAATCTAAATTATACTTAATATTAAATGAGAGTAATACATTATGCAAAAAAAAAAAAAATTAAGTTAAGATATTAGTTTCAATCCAATTTGAATGATCAATATTTAATTAATAACTATAGTTTTTAGCCATTATTATTTAATTAATTACAGAAGTTGTTTACCACAAACTTTTTTTGAATTAAATAAACAAAATATAGTTAAGCATAATAGCTCTTTATCAATTTGTAAGCATAAAATATAATTCCTATAAAAAAGATTTATAAATATAGTTTGCAGAAAGGAATATTTTTCTTGAAAAGAAAAAGATCAAGCTCAAATCAATATTTTAAATTAATGTAAGAAATAAGATATATTTAATTTAATGAAATAAATTAATAATTCAATTGTATATTTTTTTCTCAATAATATTACTATTTATTGCACAACTACAAAACTATTTAGATTTTAATTAACTAAACAATAAAAGAATAAATAATCTAAAAACTAAATTTACAATAAGGAAATCAGTTTGAAAAATCTTCTTCTTGCCAAAAATTAGGTAACGAAAAAATTTACTTAGAGGGTTGCATTTTTTGTATTTTGTTAAAAATTTTTCAAATTTAAAATCTTCAAAAACTTGAAATTTATCTACTTAGTAATATCTCAAATTATTATCCCTTTAATTTAAATATATGATAGAATTAAGTAAATCTTAAAAATTAAGCTAAATTAAATTAATACAAATATTTCTAAGATTATTCTGTTTAGCACATAATAATTACTCAGTCTGATGAAACATTGAATTTTGAAATCATAAAAATATATTAATAACCATAAGAAAAAGTTGTTTTATAATCACTTCTTTCCTTAAATTGATAAAAGTTAAAATTTCCTAAATCTAATTATGAATTGATCAATATTTAGTATTTCTATTGATCTAGCCTCAAGCATACTGACTTTACATTTTTAAAATAAATAAATTATAACTCTCATCTAATAAACATAAATCATTATAATTTGCTAAATTCTAGGACTTATAAACTAATTATTTCCAATTTTTATCTAGTAAAGAAAAATAGCAGCCATTTGCTAAAAATAAATATTACTATTGATTAACCTATTATATTTCTAATAATACTTTTTTAAAAGAAAATGATGATAAATCTTGAATTTATATGCATTTGGCAGTCTCTTCATAAATTTAAGCATCCATTCTTTCATTCTTTTGTTAAAAGTAGGTGAACATTCTTACATAAACTATTTTAGATTTGGTGGACTTTAAACAAAATATATAAAAAATAGGCAAAGATTGTTCATTAGTACTCTCTAATTAGCATTCAAATAAATTTCCAAATAATAAAAATTGTAATATGCATAATATTTTGTGCATCCATAAACTTTACATTTCACACATTAATTGCTTTAATTCAAAAACTCATCATCTAAGTATTTTTTTATTTAAGTAGAACTTTTGATTGAGCTTTTAAATAGATTCTGTTAACAAATAATACATAAATATTAAATTATAATTAGGATTGCTAATATCTCAAATTTATAGCTCTTATAGATAATATCAAATAATTATAATTCAATAAAGAAAAGCATTTTCTAAGTTGTGTAGATTAAAAAAGAAAATTGCTATTAAAAATATTAAGAAATAGAAAATAAATAAAGTTTAAAAAATAATTCTTTATATTAAATTTTTTAATATTATACAAAATGCTTAGTCTTTTAATTTAGTATTTTATATATAATATATCCTTTTAGTTAAAAGATTTATATCTTTAACTATCTACAGACACAAAAATTACTAAAGTAAATAACATTAATCGAAATTTAATCCTCATTTTTATTTAAATAAAATTCAAATTAGCAATTTAATTTTGAAACATTAAAAAAACTCAAATATTTTATTTGTCTTTTTATTGATTTGAGTTTTTCTAGATAGACATTTCTAAAAGAGGTGGAGCACTATTTTATTCATTTGAACTATTAAAAATAGAATCATGATATAAATCAGATTTATATTCTGTATTTTTATTCTTGTTTTTTTTACAATATTATTTAATGATATTTACAAATTATATTATTTAAAATAAAGGACCTATCAATATTGCAAGTACCATAAAAAGCATAATTACTAATGATTATATAACTATATAATCTGGATATTCCTAGATATTATTTTCAAAAGAATCAATTTAAGAACACAATACACTAAATAAAATGAATGTGATGCCCCAAACTATCTATTCAAAAATAAATTAGATGTTGATTATATTTCTATAAAATGGCCTTAAATAAATTGTTATAAATAGCTCAACAAATTATACGATAATTAGAGAAAAAGTAGATTTTTTATTACTATCTCTAAAAACTACTACTAAAATTGGAAATATTATGCACTCAATTATTGTAAAAATCAGCATATACATCCTTGCCAAGCAAGATTCTAAAATAGTTCCATTAGTTTAATTTATCATTAATATGTTAATAATATTTTATTTACTAAGATCTATTTTCTTTATCTTGGTTAAATATAAAAAAGCTGCTTATAAACTAATTATCAAGCTAACAGAGGCCAAACAGCATATAATAAATAAATAAGTAAATAAGCCTTATGTTGTTTACTAAATATCTAATTATATGATCTAGATAACTGAGCTATAGGAGAAAACTAAAATAAGTAACAGTAAAAATTAAATTTATAGTGAAGAAAATAATTTATCATATACTAAAAGAATATGCTTTTTTATTTTAGTACATGTTAGTAGAAATAATATTATCTGAAAAATCGCTAAACAGCAAGCTATGAAAAAGACTGCTCCACTATTTTTAATAATACTACTAGAAAGATTATTATATGCAAATTTATAGTCTAAGGTCTAATTATAATATTAGCTTTCTATTTAAAAATAATTTTAGAAAATATTAGCAATCTAGTAACTTGAAGTTATACCATTTTCTAAATTAAATATTGTATAAAAAAAAATAAATATTTTGATTGATATTAAAAAAGTAAATCGAATGTCTCTTTTAAAAATTATATCTGCTGTATAACTCTCAGAAAGATTTAAAACAAATCATTAAAAATTAACTATGAATTCTAAAAAAAAATTCTGTATTTGGAAATTAATACTAAAATTTAATAAATCTGTTGAAGATGAGAGATATTACAGTTTTTGTTATTAAATTTTTTTAATGTTTTAGATTAAGAAATGAATTAATTAAATAATATTATGATACTTGAAAGAGCTTTCATGAAATCATACAAAAAATTAGGATGGCCTAAGTTAACTAATTGCATGTAAAATATTTTTTGAATTGTGAGCATCTAAGATAAAAGAGAAGAGCCTGAATTAGTTAAACCTTATATTATCACATAAGTAAATGACATTCCTATTTAAGCTGAGTTCATATTTTCAGCAACTTTTTAAATAGATTATTATGTAGATTCGGAAAATAAGGAAACTATTTTTATTTCACATCTATCTGTTAAATTGTTGTAAAACTCTGAGTTATCAATACATAAGCATTCATTTTAATGTAGCTTAAATGATGGATAACAACTTAAACAATCTTTTTCAGTTGTTCCTTAACAAGTTTAACAGTTTTTGTAACAATTTTTACAAATTTTACTTTAATCACAAAAAGTATTAGCTGGTTATAACTTGAAACATTAGTTATTATTATAATATGGAAATTATTAGGTACAACTTAAACAATCTTTTTCAGTCATTCCTTAACAAGTTTAACAATTTTTGTAACAATTTTTACAAATTTTACTTTAATCACAAAAAGTATTAGCTGGTTATAACTTGAAACATTAGCTCTCATAATAATATGGAAATTATTAGGTACAACTTAAACAATCTTTTTCAGTTATTCCTTAACAAGTTTAACAGTTTTTGTAACAATTTTTACAAATTTTACTTTAATCACAAAAAGTGTTAGCTGGTTATAATTTGAAACATTAGTTATCATAATAATATGGAAATTTTTAGGTACAACTTAAACATTACAATTCCTAATTACAGTTTAAGCATTATTCAGGACAAGCCATACATTGCTTTTAGAAAAGGTAATAAGAATTTTAACAAGATAAACAATTTTAAGAGGTTTTACCATCACATGTTTAGCAAGATTTATCACATTGCAAGCAATAGTTTAAGTTTCCTTGTATAGGATCTAAAACTTGTCCATTATAGTATCCAACATTTGGGCAATTTTAAGTACAAGTTCTCTAATCATCTAAAAAATAAGTACCATTTGTGTTGCAATTTATTTATGCAAATACTAATATCTAACTTTATACTGCTAATATTTCACTATTTGCCCAAGTACTATATTAAAATTAAAAAATAATTGTTTGATTGTATCCGATTAATGCGTTTATAATTTTAAGTCTAAATATATAATTTAAACTCGCTTCAAATCCTGTGAATCCAAAAAAAATACCTGTCATGGTATCAATTTATATTTTGTATTAAGGTATTGTGATTGGTTCTCTTGATAAAATTGGTTAAGTTTAATAAGGTGGATTTGCTGTTTATTCAATATATGTTTGTATACTACTATAACTATTACTTTTTTACTAATAAATTTCGATGTAGTTATAATGAATTGCATTTATTTTATTTTGAATGTTAAGATCTCGGGTTTTAAATATGATATCAAAGTTATTATTTTAATAATTTATTTCTGAAATAATACTTAAATAAGCATTATTTGTTTATAAAACAGATTTATCTATTCCAATAATATAAACTGAAATGCTGACATTCCATGTATTAAAATCTAAATTGTTTCTTTAATAATTAAATGATTATTTTGCATAGACCCACTATGAATCTTAATTATAAATTTAATTTGAAAAGTAAAAAGTCCCATTTTTAATATAAACATCGTTATTATTAATAGCTAAATACTAAATAATTAATCCATATATTAATTATTTTCCATATTTTTGCACTGTTAAATTAAATGAGAATTAGTTAATTTAGAGTAAATTTATTTAAAAATTTATATTTTATAGACCATCACCCTATAAATCTAACCAACAGGTACTAATTAGAACTTAAGGTATTTCAGAGAACACATTTTAAAATGTTTGATTAATAATAACTTACTAATCTCCGTCATTATTTAAGTTGGAAGGAGTAAAAATCGGCTATAGCATATTTATTTCAACTTAAGGCATTTTTATGTAGCTAAGAGATTTTATTAATTTTAAAATCATTAAGAAAAATATAATATTTTTTAAGATACTCATTTAGGTATTTTGTATTTTTAAATGAATAGTTAATAATTATAAATTTTAGAAGTATGTTTTATATTTATAAATATTGAAAAAATAAATGAATTAGATTACAGAGAGCACTGCTTATCAAATCAAAATTAATTTTATTCATTAAATTTAAAGAGTTTACATTTTTTTTAAAGTAAAAAATTAATTGTAAGTAAAACAATAAAATTAAAAAATAAAATTTATAATTTTATATTTTCTAAATATAGACTGTAAAATGAATCTCAAAATAATATTCTAAAATTACTAAAAAACCATAACTTTAAGCATATGAGTTATACTTAAACGAGAGTAATAAAATAAGCAAAAAGTAAAAAAAAGAAATTAGAGTTAAATTATTAGTTTCAATACAATTACAATGATCAATATTTAATAAAATATAATTTTTGTAGTTATTACTTAGTCAACTAGAGAAGTTTTTTACCATAAATTTTTTTGAATTTACTTTTGAAAATATAGATAGTTAAGCATATGAGCTCTTTATTGATTGGTAATAGAAGACAAAATTCCTATAAAAATTATTTATAAATATATTGTGCAAAGATGAATTGTTTTCTTAAAAAATAATAGATCTAGTTCAAATCAATGTTTTCAATTAAAATATGAAGAAAGATATTTTTAAAATAAATGAAATAAACTATAAATTCAATTGTAAAAGTTTTCCACAAGAATTTTACTATTTATTATAAATTTTCCAAAAATATTTAGATTTTGATTAACTAAACAATCAAAGAATAAACAAATAAATAATTTAATAAGAGAATTTACAATGGGGGCATTTTTAGATCAGTTTGAAAAAGCTTCCTCCTTCAAAAATTAGGTAAATTATACTATATTTTTTGTTTTTTTTTGAGTGATCTAAAAAATGCCCACCTCAATTTTAAATAATCTCTATATTAAAAAGAAAGAACATGTTAGAAAAGAAAGAAATGAATAGTTTATATAAACGTGAAAGCATCTAATAATCATCATTATAAGAGAAATACAAAGAAAAGATAGAGCTTATTACAAGTAATTAAATCTGTATTTTGTATTAATTAATTTAGTAGAAATGCAAAAGAATTAAATATTATGTAAATAGATTTTTATTAAATCATTACATAATATTTAGATTTTGTTAGGTGTAATATAAAAATATAAGGTAAAAATCAAATTGAATACTAAAAATAAAATAAATATTTACATATCATAAATAAACCCTATATTTTGCAACTATTTTTAAATTTGTGTAACATGCTATAATGATAAAATATAGATTCTTTCTCTTGATATTTAAATCAATCAAAATATTATAGAAAAATAATTAATAATTTAAATGATTTAGCATAGCTTGTAGTCCTAAAATAATATTGATTAAAAAATTTCTATTACATATTGTATATAAAGTGTACGATAACAATAATTTACATTTTATGGAAATTTTAACTGATTTTGTTTAGTAAAGTAAATACCCTAAAAAATATGGTAAAATTTATTAGATACATAATACATATATATATATATATATATATATATATGAATTATTATTTTAAAATGAAGTGGATATTAATTACCTTTATTTCACATAAATTCTTTAAAAACAGATTAGAAACAATAACATAGAAATATTTTATAAATTTAATTAATATGTTTATTCTTGATATGATGTAAACTAATTGATATTCAATTACTTTTGCCTAAAAGCATATTAAATTCTTTGGTTTATAATCTTTAATCATAATTTGTGTTCATAATGTATTGACTTATAGAGCTTTCTAAAAAGTTAAATTTACTTTAAGGTCATTTATTTTCTTAACTATCTATTGTATCTTAATCATTAGATATTTATTTAGTCAGAATATTTGATTTAGGTGTTCTTGAATAATAAGACCATCTATCTCTCATATTTTTAAAAGAATCTACTTTTTTTAAGTTATCCTTATAAAATTATTCATTCATAACTTATAGAATAAATCTATCAGTTTATTATGGAGTTTATACTTGTTATTAAGGTGAGATATTAGACTATTTTTTTAGGTATTTTAAGTATTAAAGAGCTATTGAAAAGATTCTTAGCTATAAAAATTATATCCTTATAAAAATGTAATAAGAACTTTTATTCTTCTTTATGCAATCTTTAGTTTTATGAGAGATCTTATCTTATTTGAGTTCTAAACATAAACATTTTCTAATAATTATGGATATCTATTTTTTAAATCGAATATTAATCTTTAAACCTTATTTCTTTTTTGCTTATCACTTGATAGTGTAATAACAAACATTTGTAAAACTAACTAGAAAATGAATTAAAATTTTGGAACAACCAAAACCAAAATAATTAAGGTTTAAATAATTAATTTTGGATTCAATTCAGCTGAAATTATTGAAATTAAATTTAGTCATAAAGCGCATAGAATTGATGATTTTTAAGTTAGATTTTAAAACTATCATTTATAAAAGGTTTATATGAATCTTAAATTAAATTTATTAAAAATGGGTTTAAATTATTCATTAATTCCATTAATTAGTATCATAATCAAGTTCCTTTTTTTGATCACACTATTAACAATTTTATATCACATAAATATATCCAGAAATTTTACATTTCGTGCATTATTAGTTTTCATTCAAGAACCCATTACTTAAGTATTTTTTAATACAAGTAGAACTATTGATTGAATTTTTAAATAGATTCTATTAACAACAAATTCATGAATATTCATTTGTAATTAAGGTAACATTAAATAATAATTAAATATTATTTAAGTATTATACACAAAAAAAAAGCATGGTAAAACGAAACAAATTTATAAAATATCATCAATTTAAATGGGTTTAAGCTATTTCTTTTTTTCAAAATAATTAATTAATTTCTGAATACAACTAATTTTTAAATTATACGAATAGCAAATATCTCTAACCTCTAGCTCTATAAAATCAAATAATTACAATTCAATAAAGAAATATATATGCTAAGAAGGTATAGGTTTAAAAGAAAATTATTCTTTAAAATAATAAGTAGTAGAAAATAGTCAAATTAAAAAAATAAATCTATTATTTAAATTAATTTTTTCTATTTTCATTTTTTTTATTAAATTAAAATTATTTATAATATTTTACTAATTTAAGCAATAAAGTACTTAAAAATTAGATATGAAAATAAAAAAGTATAAAAAAAATAGATGAAAGCGTAATTTATGGTTTAATATTATAAAAAATGTTTAGTCTTTTTAGTTTAGGTTTTTGTATATTTCCTATTAATAAAAGAATTAAAATTTTTATCTACAAACACAAAAATTATATTTATAAATTAAAATTTTTGGAAACTTAATCCTCATTTTTATTTAAATCAAACTCAAATAGTATTATTATTTTAAAATAATTAATTAAATTTTTTAGATAGAAAGTATTTTACAATATTTTTTTTAAAAAAATATATTTTCATTAAAAAAACTCAAATATTTTATTTTTTCTTTTATCGATTTGAGTATTTCCAGATAGACATTTCTAAAAGAGGTGGAGCACTATTTAATACATTTTAATAACTCAAAATAGCATCATGGTATTATAAATCTGTTTTAAATTCTGTATTATTATTCTTGTTTCTTTTACAATATTATTTGATGATAATTATAATTTATATTATTTAAAAGATAGGACCTATCAATATTGCAACTACCATAAAAAGCATAACTACTAATGATAATATAACTATATAATCTGGATATTCCTAGAAATTATTTTCAAAAGAATCAATTTAAGAGCACAATACACTAAATAAAATGAATGTGATACCCCAAACTATCTATTCAAAAATAAATTAAATGTTGATTATATTTCTATAAAATGGCCTCAAATAAATTGTTATAAATAACTCAATAAATTATAAGATAATTAGAGAAAACATAGATTTTTTATAACTATCTCTAAATGCAATTACTAAAATTGGTAATATTGTGCACTCAATTATTGTAAAAATGAGCATATACATTCTTGCCAAACAAGATTCTAAAATGGTATCATTAGTTAAATTTATCATTAATATGCAAATAATACTTTATTTACTCTGATCTATTTTCTTTATCTTTGTTAAATATAAAGAAGCTGCTTATATACTTATTATGAAGCTAACAGAGATCAAACAGCAAACTATAAAGATATAAGTAGATAAGCCTTATATCGTTTACTAAATATTTAATTATATGATTTAGATAACTGAACTATAACAGAAAACTAAAATAAGTAATTATAAAAATTAAATTAATAGTGAAGAAAATACTTTATCATATACTATAAGGATATGCTTTTTTATTTTAGTACGTGTTAGTAGAAATACAAATATCTGAAAAATCACTAAACAGCAAGCTATGAAAAATACTGCTCCAGTATTTTTAATAATGCTACTAGAAAGATTATTTTATGCAAATTTAAAGCCTAAGGTCTAATTGTAATATTAACTTCCTATCTAAAAACAATTTTAGAAAATATTAGCAAATTCCTATGTTGAAGTTATACCATTTCCTAAATGATATTTCATTAAAAAAAATAAATATTTTTTCATTGATACTAAAAAATTAAATCGAATTTCAACTTTAAAAACTACATCTACTGTATAACTCTCAGAAAAATAATCTATTTTTATATCAAATAAGTAATTTTTTTTTAATTTAAAAAATAATGGTAAAATTAAAAAAAAAATTTTTTTTAGGGTCTAAAGTGATAGATATTACAGTATTTGCTATTCAATTTTTAATAGTTTAAATTAAGAAATGAATTAAAGCAATAATATAATAATACTTGAAAGAGTCTTTATGAATTCAAATAAAAAATTAGGATGGTCTATATTAACTATTTGAATGTAAAATATTTTTTGAATTGTGAGCATCTAAGATAAAAGAGAAGAGCCTGAATTAGTTAAAGCTTATGTTATTACAAAAGTAAATGACATTCCTATTTAAGCTGAGTTGATATTTTCAGCACTACTTTAAATAGATTATTATGTAGATTCGGAAAATAAGGATACTTTTTTTATTTCACATCTATCTGTTAAATTGTTGTAAAACTATGAGTTATCAATACATAAACATTCATTATAACATAGCTAAAATGATGGATAACAACTTAAACAATCTTTTTCAGTTGTTCCTTAACAAGTTTAACAGTTTTTATAACAATTTTTACAAATTTTACTTTGATCACAAAACGTTTTAGCTGGTTATAACTTGAAACACTAGTTATCATAAAAATATGGAAATTTTTAGGTGCAACTTAAACATTATAAATTCTAATTACAGTTTAGGCATTATTCGGGACAAGCCATACATTGCTTTTAGAAAAAGTAATAAGAATTTTAACAAGATAAACAATTTTAAGAAGTTTTACCATCACATGTTTAGCAAGATTTATCACATTACAAACAATAGTTTAAGTTTCCTTCTATAGGATCAATAACTTATCCATTATAGTATCCAATACTTGGGCAATTTTAAGTACATGTTCTTTAATCATCTATAAAATAAGTACCATTTTTGTTGCAGTTTATTTATGCAAATACTAATATCTGACTTTATGCTGCTAATACTAAAGTATCGTCCCAAGTTTCATATTATAATTGAATAGTATTTGTCTGTTAACCAGAATCAAACGCAATTTATTTCGCAAAAAGGTTAATTCTGTATACTTAACCATTTATAGTCATTTCAAATCCTGTGAATCCATAAAAAATACCTGCAATCTTATCAATTTATATATTGTATTTAGGTGTTATGATATTACCTGAGTTGCTTAAAATTGGATTTGTGGAATAAGGTTGATTTGCGGTTTTTTCAATATATGTTTGCATACCGTAATAAATATTGCTTTTTTGCTAATAAATTTCTATATAGTTATAATGAATTGCATTTATTTTATTTTGACTGTTAAGATCTCTGGTTTTAAAAATAATATCAAATTTATTACTTTAATAATTTATTTCTGAAACAATACTTAAATAAGCATTATTTGTTTATTAAACAGATTTATCAATTCCAATTATATAAACTGAGATACTCACATTCCATATATTAAAATCCAAATTGTTTCTTTAGTAATTAAATGATTATTTTGCATAGACCCACTATGAATCTTGATTGTAAATTTAATTTGAAAAGTAAAAAGTCCCATTTTATACATAAGCATCTTAATTATTAATAGCTAAATATTGTATATATAATCCATACATTTGTTAATTTCCATATTTTTACACAGTTGCATTAAATGAGAGTAAGTTAATTTAGAGTAAATTTATTTTAAAATTGATATTTGGCAGACTCTTTAGATCTAAGTGTTTGATACTAATTAGAACTTATGGTATTTTAGAGAATGCTATTTAAAATGTTTGATTAAAAATATTTTACTAGTAATCAAAATTTAATAAAGCAGCGTTAGGAGATAATACAGGCTTTAGCTCATTTATTTCCACTTCAGGAATTTTTATGTAACTAAGAGAATAAATTAATTTTAAAATCATTAAGAAAAATGAAATATTTAAAAGAATACTCATATAGATTGTTTTTTAAAAATTTTTTATAAATTTAATAATTATAAATTTTAAGTGTGCTTTATATTTATAAATATTGAAAATTAAGGGATATAGATTACAGTGATAATTATTTATTAAGCCAAAATTAATTTTATTCATTAATCTTATAAAATTTACATTTTTCAAAAATAAAAAAATTAATTGTATGTAGAATAACTAAATTTAAAAAATAAAATTAATAATTTTATATTTTAAAAATATAACATTTTAAATACATATAAGAATAATATTGTAAAGTTTCTAGAAAACCATAATGTTAAAGGTCTAAGTTATACTTAATATTAATTGAGAGTAACAAATTATGCAAAAAAGAAAAAAAAGAAATTTACATTAAAATATTAGTTTCAATACGATTTGAATGATCAATATTTATTTAATAACTACAATTCTAAGCCATTATTATTAGTTAATTAAAGAAGTTATTTACCACAAAATTTATTTAAATTTACTAAACAAAATAAAGTAAGCATACTATCTCTTTATTAGTTGGAATTAGGATAAAAGGTCATACTTATAAAAATTTCATAAATATTATATGCAAACAAGAATAATTTTCTTAAAAAAATAAAAATATCTATCTCAAAAGAAATTTTTAAATTAATATATGAAAGAAGATACATTTTCCACAAGAATTTTACAATTTATTACAAATTTTCTAAAATATTTAGATTTGATTAACCATACAATCAAGGAATAAATAATCTTATAAAAGAATTTAAAAGGGGTAATTTTTATATCACTTTGAAAAAGTTTCATCTTGCCAAAAATTAGATAAATATTTTTCTTAAAAAAATAAATGGGTGTCCAACTCTTTTTTCCAGCCCTGTATGTCAAATTAATCCTTTAAATTATTTATTCAGACAAATCATTTAAAACTAAAATTGATAAATTATTATCCTGTTAATTTAGATATATGATTCGATTAAGTAAAACTAAAAATTTAGCTAAATCAAATTGATACAAAAATTATTCTATCTAGTATCAAAGCTGATTAGGTTTGATGGAATATTGATTTTTGAAATCATAAAATATCTTAATAACCATAAGAAAAGCTTTTATAATAATCACTGCTTTACTTAAATTTATAAAAGTTAAAATTTTCTAAATCTTATTATGAGTGAATATTTTGTCTTTCTTCAAGCATACTTACTTTATATTTTTATAATAAAATAAAACAATTTATAACTCTCATCTAATAAAAATAAATCATTATAATTTACAATTATAAAGTATTTATAAACTAACTATTTTCTAATTTTTGTCTACTAAAGCAAAATAGTATCCATTTGCTAAAAATAAATATTACTATTGATTAACTGATTATACTTCTATTAATATTTGGTCAAAAGAAAATGATGATCTTTGTTGAATTTATATGAGTTTGGCAGTCTCTTCACAAGTTTAAGCAACCATGCTTTCGTTATAAGTTTGTGATCATTCTTACTTATACTATCTTAGCATTGGTAGACCTTAAATAAAATATATTAAAGTTGGACTGATATTGTTCATTAGTACTCATTAATTAGCATTCAAATAAATCTCAATATTTTGATTACACTAATAAAGTTATAATTTGCATCACATTTTGTATTTCACATTAATAGCTTTAATTCAAATACTCATCGTCTAAGCATTTTTTAATGTAAGTAGAACTATTGGTTGAATTTTTAAATAGATTCTGTTAGCAACTAATGCATAATTATTCATTTATAATTAAGGCAAGACTATATAGTAATAGAATAAATTTATTTAGTTAAAGATTATCTACAAAAAAAAAATTATTGTAGTGATTGTTAAAATGAAACAAATTAATAAAAAACTCTTCACTTTAAATGTGATAAAGCTATTTCTTTTTTTCAAAATAATTAGCTAATATCTCAAATATATAACTCTTACATAATATCAAATAATTACTATTTAATTAAGAAATGCATATACTAAGTTGTGTAGATTTAAGAGAAATTTGTTATTAAAAATATTAAAAAGTAGAAAAAATCAAATTAAAAAAAATAATTCTATTATTTGTATTTATTTTTCTAATATTATCGAATAAAAATATTCAAATTAAATATTAAAATAAAAAAAATTTACAATAAATAAATGGAAGTATAATTTTTGTTTTAATAATATAAATTTTATGTATATCCTTTTAAATAAAAGATTTATATTTGTACCTACCTACCTACAGACACAAAAATTACATGAAGTAACTAACATTTTTGGAAATTTAATCCTCATTTTTTATTTAAACCTAACTCAAATTGAATTATTATTTTTAAAATTATTAATTAATTTATATAGAAAATGTAATTTAACAATTTAATTTGAGAAAAAAAAAGATTTTCATTAAAAAAATTCAAATATTTTATTTTTTCTTATATCGATTTGAATTTTTCTAGATAGACATTTCTAAAAGATGGGGAGCACTATTTTATTCATTTTAATTACTCAAAATATCTTCATGAAATAAATCTGATTTATATTCTGTATTATTATTCTTGCTTTTTTTACAATATTATTTGATGGTTATTATAATTTATATTATTTAAAAGATAGGACTTATCAATATTGCAAGTACCATAAAAAGCATAATCACTAATGATAATATAACTATATAATCTGGATATTCCTAGAGATTATTTTCAAAAGAATCAATTTAAGAACATAATACACTAAATAAAATGAATGTGATACCCCAAACTATCTATTCAATAATAAATTAAATGTTGATTATATTACTATAAAATGGCCTCAAATAAATTGTTATAAATAACTCAATAAATTATAAGATAATTAGAGAAAACGTAGATTTTTTATTACTATCTCTAAATAATACTACTATAATTGGAAATATAATGCACTCAATTATAGTAAAAATTAGCATATACATTCTTGTAAAACAAGATTCTAAAATTGTTCCATTAGTTAAATTTATCATCAGAATACTAATAATACTTTACTTACTCTGATCTATTTTATTTATCTTTGTTAAATATAAAGAAGCTGCTTATAAACTTATTATCAAGCTAAAAGAGGCCAAACAGCATATAATAAAGATATAAGTAAATAAGCCTTATGTTGTTTACTAAATATTTAATTATATGATTTATATAACTGAGCTATAGCAGAAGACTAAAATAAGCAACTGTAAAAATTAAATTTATTATAAAGAAAATAATTTATCGTATACTTAAAGAATATGCTTTTTTATTCCAGTACGTGCTAGTAGATTTACAAATATCTGAAAAATTACTAAACAACAAGCTATGAAGAATACTGCTCCACTATTTTTAATAATACTGCTAGAAAGATTATTATATGCAAATTTATAGTCTAAGGTCTAATTGTAATATTAACTCTCCATTTAAAAACAATTTTAGAATATGTTAGCAATTTCGTAATTTGAAGTTATACCATTTTCTAAATTAAATATTGTATAAAAAAAATAAATACTTTTTGAATAGATATTTAAAAATTTAATCGAATTTTTTTTCTATAAATTACATCTACTGCATAACTCTCAGAAAAATTTTTAAAAAATTAATAAAATTAACTATGTTAACAAATAAAGCTAAAATTAAATTTAAATATTTGTTTAGGGTAGAAAATGAGAGATATTACAGTTTTCTATTAAAATTTTAATTTATTTTAGATTAAGAGATGAATTAAAACAATAATATAGTAATACTTGAAAGAGTTTTCATGAAGCCATACAAAAAATTAGGATGGTCTATATTAACTAATAGCAAGTAAAATATTTTTTGAATTGTGAGCATCTAAGATAAAAGAGAAGAGCCTGAATTAGTTAAAACTTACGTTATTACAAAAGCAAATGAAATTCCTTTCTAAGCTGAGTTGATATTTTCAGCGCTACTTTAAATAGATTGTTATGTAGATTCGGAAAATAAGGTTACTTTTTTTATTTCACATTTATCTGTTAAATCATTGTAAAACTCTTAATTATTAATACATAAGCATTAATTTTCATGAAGTTTAAATAATGGGTAACAACTTAAACAATCTTTTTCAGTTGTTCCTTAACAAGTTTAACAGTTTTTATAACAAATTTTTACAAACTTTATTTTAATCACAAAAAGTGTTAGCTGGTTATTACTTGAAACATTAGTTATCATAATAATATGGAAATTTTTAGGTACAACTTAAACATTATAATTCCTAATTACAGTTTAAGCATTATTCAGGACAAGCCATACATTATTTTTAGAAAAGATAATAAGAATTTTAACAAGATAAACAATTTTAAGAAGTTTTACCATCACATGTTTAGCAAGATTTATCACATTACAAACAATAGTTTAAGTTTCCTTCTATAGGATCAATAACTTATCCATTATAGTATCCAATACTTGGGCAATTTTAAGTGCAGGCTCTCTAATCATCTAAAAAATAAGTACCATTTTTGTTGCAATTTATTTATGCAAATATTAATATTTAACTTTATGCTGCAATTATTTAAGTATCTTCCCAAGTTTAATATTAAAATTTAAAAGTATTTGTCTATTAGATAGAATCATATCCAATTTATTCCTCTTTAATTCTAAGTCTAAATATGTACTTTAAACTCACTTCAAATCCAGTAAATCCATAAAAAATACCTGCAATCTTATCAATTTTTATATTGTATTAAGATGTTGTGATTGCTTGACTATTTTAATTGCTTAAAATTGGATTATTTTAATTTTGTTGATTTATTGTTTATTCAATATATGTTTACATACTGTAATAACTATTGCTTTTTTATTAATAAATTTCGATATAGTTATAATAAATTGAATTTATTTTATTTTGACTATTAAGATCTCGGGTTTTAAATATAATATCAAAGTTATTACTTTAATAATTTATTTCTGAAAAAATACTTAAATAAGCATTATTTGTTTCATAATCTATTCCTATAATATAAACAGAAATGGTGACATTCCATATATTAAAATCTAAACTGTTTCTTGAATAGTTAAATGATTATTTTGCATAGACCCACTATGAATCCTTTTTATAAATTTAATTTGAAAATTCAAAAGTACCATTTTTAACATAAGCATCTTTATTATTAATAGCTAAATATTGTATAAATAATGAATGGAAATTTTAATTTCCATATTTTTATACTGTTGCATTAAATGAGAGTTAGTTAATTTAGAGTAAATTTACTTAAAATTTTATATTTTTTTCCTTAAAGGCCTACATGTCTAATAAATTGATACTAATTAGAACTTATGGTATTTCAGAGAAGACTATTTAAAACTTTTGATTGAAAATATTTTACTAGTATCCATGATTTACTAAAGGAGTGGTAAGATAAAAAACAGGCATTAGCTGATTTATTTCGACTTCAGGAATTTTTATGTAGCTAAGAGATTAAATAAATTTTAAAATCACTAAGAAAAATGTAATGTTTTTTAGGATACTCATTTAGGTATTTAGTATTTTTTTAATAAAAATTTAAATATTATAAATTTTCGAAGTATGCTTATCTTCTTTATATTTATAAATATTGAAAAAATAAATGATATAAACTACAGATAGTAATACTTTTTAAATCAAAATTAATTTTATTCATTAACCTTAAAATTTTTTAATTTTCTTAAAGTAAAAAAATTAATTGTAAGAAGAACAATTAAAATTTAAAAAATAAAATGAATATTTAATGTTATATTTTCTAAATATAGACTTTTAAATTCATCTCAAAATAATATTCTAAAGTTCCTAAAAAATCATAACTTAAAAGCATCTAAATTATACTTTATATTAAAAGAGAGAAACAAAATATGCAAAAAGGAATAAAAAGAAATTAAAATATTAGTTTCAATCCAATTTGAATGATTACTATTAAAAAAATTAAATTTTTTGCTATTATTTTTAATTGATTTGAGAAGTCATTTACCACAATTTTTTTTGAATTTACTAGACAAAATATAGTTAAGCATAAGAGCTCTTTATTAATTGGTAATATAAGACATAATTCTTATAAAAAGTATCTATAAATATTATGTTCAAAGATGAATGTTTTTCTTAAAAATAATAGATCAAGCTCAAATCAATATTTTAAATGAATATATGAAAAAAATTTATTTAAAATAAATGAAATAAAAAATAAATTAAATTAAGCAAATTTCCACAAAAGCTTTACTTTTTATTACAAAACTTCTAAAATATTAAGAATTTGATAAGCTAAACAGTGAAAGAAAAAATAAATAAATTATTTAATAAGAGAATTTATAATGGGGGTATCTGTAGATCAGTTTGAAAAAGTTTTCTTTTGTCAAAAATTAGGTAATAAAAACAAAATTTTTTGTATTTTTTAGAATGATCTAAAAAATGCCCACCTCAATTGTAATGTAAATACTCTCTATATTAAAAAGAAAGATAATGTTATAAAATTATTAACAAAAATGCATGATTCTAATTATTTTACATTCAGATTGGATTAACATTTATTAATATTAATCTATTTGAAAATAAAAATAATTGGAGTGGAAAGAAATGAATCATTTATATAAAGATGAAAGCATCTAATAACCAGCATTATAAGAGAAATACAAAGAATAGAGTTTATTACAAATAATTAAATATGTATTTTATAATAATTAATTTAGTAAAAATACAAAAGAATTAATTATGTATATTATTAAGTAATATTTCAATTATTTTATAAGAGAGCTCATTAAAAAATTTAAGGTAAAAAGTAAAGCGAATACTAACAATAAAATATATATTTAAATATTATAAATATCTCTTAACTTTTGCAACTATTTTTAAATTAATGTTACTTGAAATAATAATAAAATATAGATGCTTCTGGTATTGAAATATCATGTTTGGGATTTTCAGATATTTCAATACTAGGATTTATATCAATTAAAATCTTATTGAAAACAATTAATAACTTATAAAATTTAGCATGCTAGCAGTCCAAAAATAATATTGATTTAATTCATTTTTATTATATATTGTATAAATAGTGCATGATAAAAATTATTAATATTTATGGAAATTTTAATTATTTTTGTTAATTTAATAAAGTAAATACCCTAAAAAATATAGTAACATTTATTAGATACATAATACATATATATATTATAATTTTATAATCTTTATGAATTATTATTTTAAAATGAAGTGAATATTAATTACCTTTATTTCACATAAATACTTTAAAAACAGATAAGAAAAAAAACATATAAATATTTAATAAATTCTATTATTATATACATTCTTAATATGATGTAAACAAATTGATTTTCAATTACTTTTGTCTAAAAGCATATTAAATTCTTTGGTTTACAATCTTTAATCGTAATTTGATGTCATAATGTATTGACTTCTAGCGCTTTCTAAAAAGTTATATTTACTTTAAGGTGATTTACTTTCTTAACTATCAATTATATCTTAATCATTAGATATGTATTTAGTCAGAATATTTGATTTAGGTGTTCTTGAATAATAAGACCATCTATCTCTCATATTTTTAAACGAATCTACTTTTTTTAAGTTATCCTTATAATTTTATTCATTCATATCTTATAGAATAAATCTATCAGTTTATTATGGAGTTTATATTTGTAATTAAGGTGAGATACTAGACTATCTTATTTAGGCATTTTAAGTATTAAAGAGCTATTGAAAAGATTCTTAGCCATAAAAATTATATCCTTTTAAAAATTTAATAAGAACTTTTATTCTTCTTTATACAATCTTTAGTTTTATGAGAGATCTTATCTTATTTGGGTTCTAAACCTATACATTTTCTAATAATAATGGAAATCTATTTTTTAAATAGAAGATAAAATTTTAAACCTTATTTCTTTTTATCTTATCACTTGATAGTGTTATAACAAACATTCCTAAAACTAACTAGAAAATGAATTTAAAATTAGGAAGAACCAAAACCAAAATAAGTAAGGTTTAAATAATTAATTGCTGATTCTATTAGGCTGAAATTATTGAAATTAAATTTAGTGATAAAGCACATAGAATTGATGATTTTTAAGTTAGATTATTAAAATTATCATTTACAAAAGGTTTATATTTAGTTGTTAAATATAACTAAAATAAAATGACTGTGTTCATCAAAGATATCTTTTTTTTATAAAAAATGTAAAAAATATAACTAATATCAAATAATATGATTAAATAAATTATAATAAATTTACTTTATAAAGCAAATTCTGTTGAAACAATATTGAATTTATAATTATTATAGATTTATAGGCTAGTTTACCAAATTCCCAATAATAAAACTTTTCTTTATGTCCTGCAAAAATAATTGAATATTTAATTTCAGTAAATATTGACCATTGCTTTAGTTTACCATTTCTAATTTTTAAGAATATTAACAAAGGTATCAGTATGATCCAAACAAATATAATAGGTATGCTAAAATAAATCATATAGGGTAAGTGATTTTCAGGATCAAAACATTTGATATTAAAATCTAAATCTAGGTAACTTTCATCTCCTATTTAAATGCAATTCAAAGATCTACTCAGGAGTGAAATAACAGTTGGGAAAAAGTAGAGATATATGAAAATAAATGCTGTGTTTCTATATTTTAGTATTATGTTATTTTTTTTCAATAATAATAAAAGAAGACCAAGAGTTAGATAAAAAGCAAATAAAAATATTGGTAATAGTAAAGACCAAATTATCTAATAAAACCACAAAGGCTTTAAATTTTAAAATTATGAGAAGAAACAATCTATAGACTTACTGGTAAGGCTCAAAGAATTACCAGATAGCAATAATGGTACTTTAAAATAATTAGGGATATTAACTGAAAAAAAGCTAAATAATGATAATATTTAAAGATGATCTGTAAAAATCTTTGATAATATTTGTGATTTTTCTGAGATTTTTACTATTAAATAAAAAAAGCTTATTAATTAGATTATTCTTCAATACTAAAAATTACATGTTGATCCTAAGTATAAGATATCTGATTTATTAATAAAGTAACCAGTTAGTTTAGCCTATAATTTATTTATAATTGTTCTTAAAATAACTAATATGTAAAGAGAGAGTAGGAGGAAAAATAATATATTTTCAATTAATATATTAAACAAATTTTCAGTGCAACTATAGCACATTCCAGGACTATACATTTCAGAATACCTATGTCCCCAAATCTCTCCATACACATCACAAGAATAGCACAGTGGACCCTTATAACCTTTCAAGCAATATTACTAAATTGAAAAATAAAAATATTAAATATACTATAAAATTTCAAAATTAAATTTATCATCACTATTTTTTTAAAACTTAATTACTATAATTTTTTTTATGAAAAAATATAGTCTGTTAAAATATTTAATTCTTAATTAATGAGGATTGATAGTATAGTATTTTTAAAATTACATTTGCATTAAACTAAAACAAAAGATCTATTGATAAATAAAATTTGAAATTTATTTTTTTATTTAACTCTTAAAATTTAATTTATGTATTTTTAAAAATTAATTTTTCATATTTAAAAAGAAAAAAAAAATAATTTTTTTTTAAAACAAATACTTTTGATTCTGGAGATTCTGCTTGGCAAGCAAGAGGATTAAAATTACAATAAGATATTATATCAGTATTTTCATTTTTTCTCCAATATCCATTCTTTAATAGAATTGTTGATTTGAAGCATTTAACAGCTGATTCTGGACATTATTAACATTCTATATCTTATTTATTTAAAGAATATTTACCTTCTTAACAATTCTCACAAATGATAGAACTACTATATTATTTAACTATTTATCCTATCTCGCAATCATCAAAATTAAAAACTATATTTTTAATAAGTTATTCCTATTTTTGATATATATTTCCTCTTGAATCTACAAGCTAAGGGAAAATATTCGAAACAATTTAAAGGTTCATTTAACTTTTTGGTTTGTATATCACTTATGCATTTAACTAATATCCACCATTTTAAACAAATTATTTTGTTTCAAGCTATCCTATACACTGAATTTATTAGTTTGACTACTCCCATTATAATGAAACACTTATTTGCTACATTATTGTAAGAACATCATTGCTGTACATAAGGCTATCAAACTGACTAGCTTTAGATATTAACAGAGGGCTTTCTTCCTCATCAATCAACTATATTTTATCAAAATAAATCTAGTCCCCACTTTTAATTTAATTTATATTGATAGAGTTATTTGAAATTTATGATTTGATTGTATCACCTGATGCTTTTATATCATTTAGATTTATTTTTATACTTTTTAAAGTAGAGCCTATATTGT